CTCTGAGCACTCCTTCGGGCACTCTTCCGGCACAACTCGACGCACTCCTCTGCCCCCTCCTAGCACTCCTTCGGGCACTCTTGTGAACCCAGAATCAGAAAGGTACGTATTCTTGATTTGGTAAATGTTGATTTTGTTTTATTGTCTAATGATGCAATTCCATTCTATTTAGGATCCACAACCGGGAGTCTCTTCACGAGCATTTGATTGATATTACATATCAAATTCTGGCAACCTCAATTGCAGACCCCCTTCCGCCCCCTCCGCCTCCTCCGAGCAATCCTTCGAGCATTCCTTTGGGCACTCGTCGATGCATTCCTCCGGTAAACAATGCTAATGATGATTATGAAGACAAATACAGAAAGGTCTTATTGATGGGAGGTTACGTCGTATCTACAATGGTGACAGTTTTGGCTACCAATTGTAAATATGACATGTCAAGAGGGGCTGAATACCTTTAGTATTTTCTGATAGCCTGCATTTATGTCAGCCTGATATCTCATTTTTATGCTTTATATCTTGTGGTGGTGGTGCTTGGTGTGGGCGGTGGTGGTGCTGGGTGTGGGTGGTGGTAGTGCTTGGTGTGGGCGGTGGTGTTGGTTAATAAAATAAATCCGCAGGGGCTAAAAGAAATTTACCTAAAAATACGCATAATTACTTTAGGATCCAATTTTTTAATTTTTGGGTGCCACCCCAATGGAGTTTCTCCATTGGCCACTTTATGTGGGCTAATCTCTTCGAAATCGGTCAATGGCTGAAAACGTTGATATTTCAATGCAAGAAAAATTTGGGACGCTTGGTTTGATTACATTTTTTTTTTTTCAAATTTGTCTCCGTATTTACTGGAGAGAAATAAATAATTTAATAATTCATGATGATTTTTTATTTTAATAAACTGTATTGGTCATGATATCAATCATTAATCACAAGTCACTCGAATTCTAGATAACTATAAACAAGAAAAAAAATAATTATATTATAACAATAGTTTGAAAAAGATGTAGATTTACAAAACAATCTGCTACCACTAAGCAAAATTTTTGGCAAGAGGTTAAATATCGTATTAATATCAAAATGATAGTCTTTTAACATTATATCTATATCCACAATTTGTTTTTAGCAATAGATACAATATTTGGCCGACATTTGGTGAAAAAAGTAGGGTGACACGGTTTTAGGTCAAGTCTCGACCAAACACCACCTTCATTTCAACTAAAATTTATGTAGAAAGATAGATCATTTAAAAATAATTATTTCAATATCAATTATTTTTTAGAAGCCAAAATCTACAGGGGTGGTGGTGGTGCTTGGTGTGGGCAGTGGTGGTGCTGGGTGTGGGCAGTGGTAGTGGTTGGTGTGGGCAGTGGTGTTGGTGTTGGTGAATAAAATAAATCTGCAGGGGCCAAAAATTTTTACCTAAAATACGCATAATTACTTTAGGATCCAATTTTTTTTTTATTTTTGGGTGCCACCCCAATGGAGTTTCACCATTGGCCACTTTATTTGGGCTAATCTCTTTGAAATCGGTCAATGGCTGAAAACGCTGATATTTCAATGCAAAAAAAATTTGGGACGCTTGGTTTGAATACATTTTTTTTTTCAAATTTGTCTCCGTATTTACTGGATAGAAATAAATAATTTAATAATTCATGATGATTTTTTATTTTAATAAACTGTATTGGTCATGATATCGATCATTAATCACAAGTCACTTGAATTCTAGATAACTATAAACAAGAAAAAAATAATTATATTATAGGAGCAGCTTGAAAAAGATGTAGATTTACAAAACAATCCGCTACCACTAGGCAAAATTTTTGGCGAGAGGTTAAGTATCGTATTTGTATCAAAATGATAGTCTTTTAACATTATATCTGTATCCACAATTTGTTTCTAGCAATAGATACAATATTTGGCCAACATTTGGTGAAAAAAATAGGGTGTCACATTTTTTAGGTCAAGTCTAGGCCAAACACCACCTTCATTTCAACTAAAATTTATGTAGAAAGATAGATCGTTTAAAAACAATCATTTCAATATCAATTATTTTTTAGAAGCCAGAATCTGGTCACTATTGTTTGGATTCCGATTAATTAATTTCTAACTTGTAATGTTTTATATAATTAACTAGAGAACATACTACAAGAAATATTATTAATCATTAATGTAATTTAAAAAATATTATTATAATATGAAATTATTATACAATTAATATATTTGTCCATCCCTAACATTTTCTCTTTCTAAGAAATTTCCTTGCAACTCATCCGTAATTTCAACAAAATTAAACCCTTCATACATAAAGTTGTTAAATTCTCATGATTAACTTGACCAAGACTTGCAAATTAGAGTCTACTACCAATGAGGACACCATCACTCACAATTAATTTTACCAATATTTGATCTACACATTAAAGTAGCAAACATTTTTAATATTATATTGTTTTTAATTAATTATGGTTATGTCACCACTTATCGTTTTTACCTAACTCGCAGGTCCTTTCCAAATGTAAAGGATTTTGACTAGTTTTCTATTGTAAATTTCTTAGAAGTTTGAGTCTATATGTCTTTCATGTGCGGATGTAAGTTTTATGCCCAATCACGTTAAATTATTTTCTCTTTTGTATAATTAGTGATTTATTCAACATTTATTAATTTTAATGTTGGTGTATTGAAAATTTGAAGGTATGTTTATGATACGTTTACAAGTCTTAAAACACTTGTAAATATAAGTGGATAAAGAATTACAAGTCCTAAAACACTTGCTAATTTGGTTGAATTAAAGAATTTTACTCTAAGTCGTAAAACGCTTGGATTGTGGAATGGGAAAAGCAATGGAGGAAATATGACCCAAGCAAGTTCCAATGAAGGAGAGAATCCAAACATTTTGGCCAAAATCATTCCAAGTCTAAGCTCAACAAGTGAAGCTCCCAAGAAAGAAGTCTAAGTGTTGACAAAGTCAAATCTGACTCAAGTCTCATTCCAAAGGGGAAGATCCACATGAACCCTTATTGAATCCATTTGCATGATTTTCAAGGCCTAAACTCTTACATCCTTATTAATAGACTTAATTAGGATCATTGATTAAGTTTTGATCTAATGAAGTAAGCTTATTTCAATTAATAGGTGGTTAAAGATATAGGTGGTATTAAATAGGCATGACCTTGCTATTTGAATGAATGACTTGTAATATTAGTTAAGTTTATTTTCATTTTATTATATTTGTCAATTACTTGTTTATCCTTATATTTGTCTATATAAGAGCGACTATTTCATTCTAACAATTAGCTTATGAAAAATATGAAATTGATTTATCAATTTGAGAGAACTTTTGTACTCTTAAGTGTGCATTCTTTATCCAAGTCTTGGCAAGGAGATTTGGTGATGAATTAATTCAAGTTGGTGGAGTAATCCTTTAGGCTTGAAATGTTTCTACTTGTCTTGGTCTGAATTTGCAAGTAAGTGTGATTAAGTCCATGTTTTTAATTTAGCCGAATTTCTACTTGATTTTTGGAGTATGTTGTGATCAGTTTATTAATTATAATGAATTGAATTAAATTTATAAATGGAATCCTTATGTTTGTGAATATCCTTATTAAATTTTTAGGATTTGTTTAGTAAGTGTATAACCAGGATTTGCACTCAGCTAAGTTGAGCTGTACATTTGTCCAATTTAAAAGGTTGGATCTTTATGCTTGCCCATTTGGAATTAAATTCCTTTTGGTCCTTGTCTTTAAGCTAAATTTCAAATTTCACCCTCTCTCTCTTGCTTTTTAAATTTAACAACTCCAATTTCCAATTTATTGATTAATTAAATTATTATATAGGAAGTTGATAGGAAATTTTCGTTAATTTTTAAAATACTGAAAGAAGAACAATTCAATATAAAATACAGTTATATTATATAGATTTAGTATTTCTTAATTGACCAATATATTGAATTAATTTATCAATGCAATTTTCATGTGAATTCTAACAAAATATTTGGAATATAACTTTAAGAGTCATAAGGAACTATTTGTGAAAATTAATAGTTATTTCTATTGATTTATTAGAATCTAATAACGAACATTTGATCCACTAATTAAATATTCTAAATATTATATTACTTTAATTAAGGTTATGTCACCACTCATAGTCTTTATCTAACTCATAGATCCATTCCAAACATAAAGCATTTTCCTTTTCTTTCCACTGCAAAATCATTGTGTCTCATCATTTTCTTAATATTCTTAATTATGCTTTAATTTCCACCTTTATTTGCTTTTAATGTATCATCCACTTCCTTTTCTCGTTCGTCAAAAAGTTTAGAACTATTAATCCCCCACTTCTTGTATGTTGAATTCAATTTTCAGGATTATTTTCATAGGAAAGTAAGCAAATTCTCTTTCCATCGCAAACATAACATAAAGCATTTTCCTTTTCTTTCCACTACGAAATCATTGTCTTGTCCTTTTTTTAAGATTCTTAATTATGCTTTAATTTCCACCTTTATTTGCTTTTAATGTATTGTCCACTTCCTTTTCTCGTTTGTCAAAAAATTTAGAACTATTAGTCCCCCACTTGTAGGTCTATCCCAAACATAAAGCATTTTCCTTTTCTTTCCATCGCAAAATCGTTGTGTCTCATCCTTTTCTTAAGATTCTTAATTATGCTTTAATTTCCAGCTTTATTTGCTTTTCATGTATCGTTCACTTCCTTTAATTCTTGTACATTGAATTCAATTTTCAGGATTATTCTCATAGAAAAGTAACCAAATTATCTTTGCTTTCGCTCAAACTAATCGTTCTTTACTTGTGACAATATCTCTATTCCTTTCTTCTTTCCGATGACTAAATCCATAGCATTTGTGGTTGAGCCCATTGTCTCTGAACTCTTTAAGGAGTTGTTTGAGAAATTGGCATCTGTGGTTGAGCCTCTTAATAGATCTCGTTTGTCTTGAATCTTATAATTTGATGTCACCGTATTGTAGTTTTGATAAAGGCAAAAGAAGTGAATAAATGGATCTTGTTCAATCTTCCAACTCCGGAGTCAAAATCACTAAGACGATGCAAGTTGATTCCAATAAAGGAACCACGAAATTGGAATGCAAAAAGAATGCTCATGAATCCGAGACAACGCAAGGTAAGTATAGACGGAGATCATATTAAGTGATATGTTGCATGTATCATTAGATCTTTTAATAACTAATATTACATATCGATAGATTCATAGATACATAGTACTTATTATCATGTATACATTATATTTGAAATTAATAGTGAACGGAAAAACTAGAAAAGGCATTCATATTCAACCTCCTTTAACTCAATAAGCAGAAAAGGTAGACGAAACCACTTAAATGAGCCAAGTCTGGAAATAATAGTGAACGTATATAGTAAGTTAAAAGACTATGTACTAGTGGTTTAAAATCATAATTTTTTTTTCTTATGTGTACATAATTTGGAATTAATAATGAACGGAAAGAGTACAGGAGGTGATAGGGTTCAACCATTTAATAACTCCATTAGCAAAAGGGAGATGAATCACTCTGTTATACCTAAGTAGCAGAACTGATTTATCACGCAACAGAATCAAATCAAGAAACACAAAACACACAAACCAAACACACAGAATAAGCCACGATTTACCGTGGTTCACTTATCCTTTATGGATAAGCTACATCCACGTTGAGCTCAAGAAAGGTATGAGCTCGCTGCACTATGATTACCAGAAGAACAGTCAAGATTACACAGATTCAACACTCACCAGATCTACCCTTTACAACAGCACTCGCTTACAAGATACCCTATATATCCCAACCGAGAGAACAACACTCTCACCTGAATGATAAAGCCCCTAATCACTTGACTGATTACTCTCAATCTGGAATTGAATCTTAACCCTAACACAGAGAAAATAGCCGACTCAGAGAATAACCCTAGCCTCTCTCATTTTCTCTCTTTCAAGACTGACTGTATCATGCGCTTTTATAGGTTGACTCTGTGATCGATCCTGGCCGTCCAATCTGAAACGAATCCTATGGTCTGCATTTGCCCAAATGAATATGCCTAAAACGACGCCGTATTAGTGTTACTTAACGACCTGTTTTCAGGCTTCCACATTTACAATCTCCACCTTGGAAGCACTGGAAACAGACTCTTTGTGCACTTGCCCTTTCCCATTCTGTCATAGCTCTTATCACTCCTGATTACTTGATATGAAACAAGTTATCAGTTGTGAACTGACTGGAGTGATAATTTTGGTGCCCATATCTGCTGGGTTCTCTTCGTGGGTACCTTCTTCAGTTCAATGATTCCATTTGCAACTTGGTTCCTCACAAAATGGTAACGTACGTCCATGTGTTTTGTTCTTTCGTGATACACTGGATTTTTGCTTAGATGGATTGCACTCTGGCTATCTGAGTACACTGTAACCTTTCCATCAATGTTTTACTTCTGTCAGAATTCCTTTCAACCAAATGCTTCTTTAACAGCATCAGTGACTGCAATGTACTCTGATTCTGTTGAAGACAGTGCTACAATTGGCTGCAACTGTGATTTCCAGCTTATACAATTTCCACCCAATGTGAAGTAGTATGCAGTTGTGGATTTTCTGGAATCCTTATCACCTGCAAAATCAGCATCTACAAAGCCAACCAGATCAAGTGCAGTATCTCTTTTACAGTAATCAAGACCTACACTAACTGTACTGTTAATATACTTTAACATCCATTTTAGAGCAGTCCAATGTTCCATTCCAGGATTGGACATATTCTACTTAACATAGAGATAGAAAAGGCTAGGTCTGGCCTAGTGCTAATCATGGCATACATCAATGACCCCACACTTTGCATAAGGAACAGACTCCATTTTCAACAGTTCTAACTTAGTTTTGGGGCATTGAGACTTGCAAGGATAAACTGACTGGTAAGGGGCATTGAGACCAGTTTGGCACCAGCCATGCCAAACTTTGTGACTATTTTAAGCAAGTAGGACTGTGCTGCAGTCTGAGTTCACATTTCTTTCTACCCATTTATTTCCATGCCCAAAATTTTCTTAGCACTGCCCAGGTTTTTCAGCTGAACTCAGTTTTAGTCTTTCCTTATTCACTGATTAAGGTTTTTGACTTACTAATCAACAACATGTCATCCACATATAAAAGCAGGTAAATAGGCAGATTATCATCCATTTTAAAGTAGAAGCAACTATCATATTGGCTTCTAGTGAATCCTATGCCTATTATAAAGGTGTCAAACCTTTTGTACCATTGCCTAGGGGACTGTTTTAACCATACGGGATCTTTTTAACAGGCAGGCATGGTTAGGAAACTTTGGGTCAGTAAACCCCATGGTTGGCTCATATAGATCTTTTCCTCTAGTGTTCCATGAAGGAATGCAGTGGTGACATCCAACTACTCTAGTTCTAGGTCTTGATAAGCTACTACTGACAGCATTAACCTAATTGTTTTGTATTTTACCACAGGGGAGAAGACTTCATTAAAGTCTATCCCCTCTCTTTGAGTAAACCCCTTAGCCACAAGTCTGGCTTTTGACCTAGGTGATCAGCTATGGATATACCCTCTTAAGTTTAAACAACCATTTACATTGGGTCAGCTTCTGATTACAGGTTTTGGAACCAGTGTCCGTTTCATTTACCTTTAAGGATTGCATTTCTTCCTCCATAGCTGTTTTCCATTTGTCCCTCTCCTTATTCCATGGCCTCTTGGTAGGCTCAGGTTCAGACCTAAGTACTTCTGTACCTGCAAGTAAGCAGTATATATAGTTCTGCATATGAGTACCTTGAGGTGGTCTTACCTCTCTCCTGGTCCTGTCTCTGCCAGTTGTAGTTAGTCAGGTCATTTTGTTGTGTTTCTAGGAATTCTTCTGCTTCCTCATCTTCACCTGGTCAGGTTCCTCAGTTCCAGCTCAGTCTCAGTAGCTGGGGAGTTGGGCCTTGTGTTTGAGGTGGTGAACTTGATGGGTTGTATGCTCCACCTCAATCTGTGTGGTATTGGTCTGTTTAGCATTTTCTTCTGTACTTTTGTTGTTCCTTCATTAGGGTTGGTGCCTTTGCATGGGAATACTCCCTCATTACACCACATCCCTGCTTATAAGATTCTGACCCCTGGTGACTCTCTGTCCCATAGCCTGTACCCTTTGTGCCCTCAGGGTATCCAAGGAACAACATCTGGTTGATCTTGGCTCTAGTTTTCCCCCTACTGTGTGTGCATATGCAGCACAGCCAAACACTCTTAGGTGCCCTAGTTCTGGTCTTCTCCCTGTCCATCTTTCTTCTGGGCTGATAAGGTTTAATGCTGTGGAAGGGCTCCTATTCACTAAGTAGCAGCCGTGGAGAGGGCTTCTCCCCAGAAGGTTTTTGGTAGGTTGGAAGTGATCAAGAGGCATCTTACTTTGTCTAGCAGTGTTCTGTTCATCCTCTCAGCTACCCCCATTTTGCTGAGGTGTACCTCTTACGTCCTATGTCTCAGGATCCCCTGTTCATGCAGAACTTATCAAACTCCAGATTACAAAACTCAAGCCCATTGTCAGTCCTAAGGGCTTTCACCTTTCTGCCAGACTGATTCTCAACTAGTGCTTTCCAGTCTTTGAACTTTGCTAGAGCTTGGTCCTTTGATCTAAGTAAAAACCCAAACCTTCCTACTGAAGTCATCACTATGGAAAGGAAATAGCTGTTTCCCCCATGAGACTTAACCTTTTCTGGACCCCAAATCAGTAGTGGTAGTCCAAACAGTTGTTTGCTAGGTGAACTCCCTTAGGAAAACTATTTCTGTGCTGTTTACCAAGTACACAACTTTCACAGAACTCTATGCTTGTACAGTATCCTTTCCAAATTCTCCTAGTCGTTAAGTATATCCATTCCCTTCTGACTCATATGGCCTAATCTCAAGTGCCACTTTTCAGTTACTAATACTTTTGAGACCCAAGTGTATTGCTCTTGCATTCAGAGTAAAAACTACCACAAAGCACATATGCCCATTTTTCTTTTCTCCTGTCAACACCAAGTTCTCATTTTTATAAACATTCACCCCCACTGTTAGCCTTATAGCAGCAGCCTGCTTCATCTAAGGTGCCTTGAAAGAGGGTTTCCTCTTAAGTCAGGTATATATCTGACTTTGGTCAACCTTATTAGTTTTCCTCCATTTAGCCTAAGGGTAATGCAGCCTATCCCCTTAACCTTACAGGCTTGGTTGTTCCCCATATACACAGTCTCATGATCAGCTCCTCGAAGTCTTGGAACCAACTTCTATTGGGACTCATATGGAAGGTACAACCAGTCTAATACCCATTCCTTTGCAGTGTCAGATGTTGACACTGTTGACTTCTGGTATCCATTTGGTTACTGGTGGAGGCTAGGTTGCTTTCTGTGTTCCCTAGTTTCTGCTTTTTCTTCCACTCAAAACAGTTTTTCTTCAGGTGACCTGTCTTATGCAATGGTAACACTTCCTAGTTTCAGTTTTTGCTTTGTTGTTCCCCTTCCACTCTCTTGTTCTTACCCCCCTGACTTGATTGGAACCCTTTACTAGACTGGACAGGTTTCATTCTACCCTTCACAAACAGGGTGCTGTTATTTCTCTTAAGGTTTTGAGCTCTAACTCTCTAGCCTTAAGACCTGCAACTATCGGTCAACACTGGGTACAGTACCGGAGTACTGAAGGGCATTCTTGACTACTTGGTAGTCTTCAGTTAGGGAATTTAATAATATCGGGCAAGGCTAGTTTGTCCTAGTTCTTGGTCTGTACCCTTTAAGATTAGATTCATCTTAAGGAATTCATCTAGGTTTTCCTCTATGGATTTCGAATTATCCATCTTATAAGAATAGGCTCCCTTTAAGAAAGCCAAATTCGGGGCAGATTGTAAAGCATATAGGGACTCTAGCTTACCCCATAAACCAGAGGATTTCGAATCCATCTACCTTCCGAAGAACACTGTCAGACAGATTCATCACGATCAGGTTATAAGCTTTTTCATCAATCTCTTCCTTCTTTTCCAGTTTCTCCTCTGACCATTTCTTGGGATCCTTTTCCAGGCAATTGCAACTTTGTTATGTGAGAGAAGAGCCTTTCATTTTCTTTTCCAACTGCCGAAGTCGATCTTCCCATCATATGGGATACTCCATTCTGGTGGTGCTAATTTTTCCTGTAATGACAAAGAAAGAAACACAAAGAAAACAAATGGAAATCTAAGGCGTACTTGGCGTTGTTACACCAGTAGTGCCAATTGCTGCCAGGCAGTTTTTAAGGCGGTCACTGGTATCCAGCCGATAACCCTTATACTTTATCAAGACTTGACTCTCTAGAATCAATTCTGGACTCAAGGTAATAATCGAATCAAAAAACCCCAATTTTCGAAACCCTAATTTGAAACCCTAATTTTTGAAACCCTAATTTCTGTTTCTTTAACACAAGAATCCCAAATTCACAAAACCCTAATTTCGTCAGAGAAAGAATGACTCTCTAGGACTTAATTTTGAGACTCTTACGGAAACCCCATTTTTTCAGAAAGTAACCCTAATTTAGGAAACCCTAATTTTTTCGTGAAACCCTAAATTTCCCAGAACACGAACTTTACTTTCAAGAAAAAATGGCTCTGATCCCACTGTTATACCTAGTAGCAGAACTGATTTATCACGCAACAGAATCAAATCAAGAAACACAAGAACACCACAAAACCAAACACACAGAACAAGCCACGATTTACCGTGGTCACTTATCCTTTTATGATGCTACATCCACGTTGAGCTCAAGAAAGGTATGAGCTCGCTGCACTATGATTAACCAGAATACATTCCAAGATTACACAGATTCAACACTCACCAGATCTACCCGTTTTACAACAGCACTCAGCCTTACAAGATACCCTATGAATATCCCAAACCCGAGAGAACAACACTCTCACCTGAATGATTAAAGCCCCTAATCACTCGACTGATTACTCTCAATCTGGAATTGAATCTTAACCCTAACACAGAGAAAATAGCCGACTCAGAGAATAACCCTAGCCTCTCTCGTTTTCTCTCTCTCAAGACTGACTGTATCATGCGCTTTTATATGGTTGACTCTGTGATCGATCCTGGCCGTCCAATCTGAAACGAATCCTATGGTCTGCATTTGCCCAAATGAATATGCCTAAAACGACGCCGTATTAGTGTTACTTAAACGACGCTGTTTTCAGGCTTCCACATTTAACACACTCAAACGAAGCAAGTTGATCTTACTAAAAAAACTGAACGTGATCAATCAGTATTTAAAGGGAAAGGTATGTGACTCGGATAAAACGGGAAATTTCATGGTATTCATAATAAATTTTAGAGTCATTTACATACATTTTCACATCTACATTATTTGGAATTGACAGAGAACAAAACGACTGAGGTGACAATAGATGTTAATGCTCGGTTCAGGCCATTAATCAAGGTTGTACAGGAGCGTAATTGGATGATTTTAAAATATTTGGTAGATAGCACACCTGGGGCCTTGACTGAAACTGTTTCAGAATTTGGGGATACCATTTTTCACATAATTAATGTATCAGATGCCCCCACTTTGCTTATAAAGAAGCTTGCATTCAAGATCACTGCAGAAGAACTTCAAAATTTGAGAGGAGATCTTGGCTTATCCGTTATGTTCCACGCTACTATTCTTGGCTATACAAACGTTGTAAAAGTTTTTGTCCAGAGGCACACAGAATTTCCAAACATAAGGAACGGAGAGGGTTATCTTCCAATTCATGAAGCAGCAGAAGCAGGCTACAAGGGAATAATTCAATATCTTTTGTCAGAAACAACAGTAAGTTTGGATGACGATAAAAGTGTTAAACTGATTAAAGATCTTCTCAGTTCTGGTCACTATAGTAAGTACAAAAGTAATTTTACTATTTACGATATGATTACTATAGTAAGTGCAAAAGTTATTTTATTGTTTGCGATATGGTTAGATAACGTTGAATTTTCACATTACAACTTTTTAATATTATTGTTATCACAGTTAAGTGTCACATTGTTTTTTTGTCTTTTTTATATCCCTTTTAAACATGTATCCTCAGTTTGATTTTCTCTATAAAATAAATCAAAACTTCTCAAGGTAAATTGAGATAAGGAGAAGATCCAAATACATGTGGATTCAATTATTACCTTATAATTGATATCCGTTTGATATCTTCTTGCATTATATAAAGTCAACTTTAGTTGTGTGTACGAGTTCGCATGCATAGAAGCATGTCACTGTAACATCCCTCGAGCACTCAAAGGTTGCTGAAAGTCCTCGTTAATTTACCATTAGGTTGATCATAATATATATTGTCTTTGCTTTCTTTTATTAGTTTTCTTTTGTGTGTTCAACTCAGCGGTCAGTGGATAGATTTTTCGATCCTAGTTTGCCGCTATCAACGTTACGGTTTTCATTCTTACAACAAAACAATTGCCCTGCTAATTAAATTGCATTCATTATCTGTACTCCATTTACAGGTATAGCGCTAGATTTATGGAAGCGATATCCAAAGTTAGCTCTTGAAAACAATTCAGAAAGAAAAAGTATATTAGATATATTGGCTGGTAAGCCTCTGGCTTTTGAAAGTGCGAGTTGGAGTCGCCTTGGGTTTTGGAGACGCTTGATCTATGATTGTTAGTAACAACATTCTTCCTCTCATGTAGTATAGACTCAGATAGTCAGATACACTCTAACAAACCCATCTTGTATATTCACATGGTCTTATTGTTGTTGCCTGTCTCTGCAGGGATTCCTCTGCCAGAGGAATATGTTCCTTACAATCAAAGTAACAATGGGGACATAGAAAACGCGGTTAAGTGTTTAGACAAGTTTAAAGAATGCAAACATTTTGTATCTATTCGTCGAATAATCTATGCTTCATTTGGTTTGTACAACTCTTATCTATCTACCCATCTATCTATCTATCTTTCTGTCTATTTATCTACCTATCTATCTATATAAATATGCTAAATAAGTAGTCTTTCTGAAATGGATTATCCTACAAACCAAAACAATTTATAATAGTACATATTTGTTACTACACAGGTGCTCTGCGACAAACGATCTGGCATGTCCTTATGCTGCTAGGTAATTGGTATTGAACAATTATCTTAATTAAAAGGAGTATCTTGAAGGAATTCTTTATCTTGTTTTATTGACTTGAGTTGTTTAATTGCAGTCCCAGACATCAAAAACATTCGCGATATAAAGTTGACACATATGCAAACCCTTGACATTGTTAGAATCTTGTGTCATGGTAATGACGTTATGTGGAATTCCACAGAGGCCCTTGAAACTTTCTGGCCGGCATTTCCTGAAGCTGCAAAACTTCGGATTTGCGAGACTGTCAATGAAATTTTGAATGCTTATTTCTATGCTTATACCTTCCGCTACACAGATAATAATTACGATCTACTTCATATGGCAATTTTACATCGCCAAGAAAAGATTTTTAAATTTCTAAAAGAAAGGAATGTGTCTGAACCAACCTGGAAAGCGGCCAACAAGGGAGGAAAAACTGACAACCTTTTGCATTTGGCTGGAAAGTGGGCAGCTTCAAGTCAAGTCTCTAGTGCAGCATTGCAAATGCAGAGAGAATTACAATGGTTCGAGGTGAATCTATGATCCTGCAAAAAAGAAATAAAAAAAATTATACAACTTGTTTTATCCTCTTAACTATTACTTCAAATGATTATTCTATTTAAATCTTATTCTTGCCTCTAGATGCCTTGATCTTACATCAAACTGCTGTACTTTCATTTCTCATATAGGATTATAAATTTATAATTGAATGTGCAAGAGATTTTGAAATCTTGCATATATATAATGTTAATTTTAATTCTAAAGTTTCCTTTATTTTTTCTAACCTCGTTAATAATTTGTTTATAACATTTAGTTCTTCTACAATATTAGAGATTTTTTGTTTGAGAATCAAATTTATTACTGCTCATGCTTACGCTAGCTAAGGTTTTATCTTCAGGCTGTGAAAAGTTATGTCCATCCATCTCTTCAAGAGCAACAAAATATGGATGATAAAACTCCGAGAAAAGTCTTTATCGAAGGACACAAGGAATTGGTTAAACAAGGTGAAAAATGGATGAAGGGAACCGCTACATCATGCAGTGTTGTAGCCGCATTGATAATAACTGGAGTTTTTACAACAGTTTTCACCGTACCAGGTGGTAACAATAATGATGGGATACTCAATTTCTTGCATGACATAGCTTTTATAGTCTTTGTTATATCAGATGCACTTGCACTATTTTCTTCCACAGCTTCAGTTTTGATGTTCTTGGCAATCCTCACTTCACGATACTCAGAAGACGACTTTTTGATATCATTGCCAAGGAAGTTAATCATCGGCCTTATCACGCTATTCTTTTCTATTACAAGCATGATGGTAGCATTTGGTGCTACCGTTTACACATTTCTTTCTCATTCATGGAATTGGACTGTCATTCCAATTTCACTATTCGGATGCCTTCCAGTGACCTTATTTGTCATATTGCAATTTCCTTTATTGGTTGAAATTTTCCTTTCCACTTATAGACCAAGCATTCCCATAACCCCAAATAAATAATTAAGGATGTCACTCTGGCAATAGCAGCCACACAAGTTCTTCCTTTAGTGAATAAACTCGCATAAGGTGTTAATTTCATCTCCTATAGTGATTTTTTTTTTTTTTTTGTATTATTATTATTATTATTATTCCCTTGTAATCAGTTTATGTATTTATCATTCTACTATTTAATATAATAGTGCCTTTTGGGTCTCCTAAGGTTTGCTTAAATAATAATTATAATATACTTTTATCTCATTATAATATTAATTTGGGTTTTAAAATGGCCTAATTTCATGGGCTTCTGGTCCAAAGGTGTTGGGCAGACTACAGCCCAGTTACATAAATAGACTGGTTATTGGTAAATTTAGCACAAAACCAAGGCCCATTTGGTCTAAATTATAACGACAAATGATAATTTTATAAACTAATTATCTACAAATATAAATAAATAAATATAATTTGTTAATACTTAATAGTTTTTCCAAAGAAAAATAGAAGTTAGATGGTATCTTACTCTCTTACATGATGATAATTTATTTGATAAAAAAATGCTACCCAAAATTAAGTCTTAAATCATTCCAAGTAAGTAATGAACAAGTCAATTAATTAATAAACTAACCTAATGGATCTTCTATAACAAATTAGGATCACAATTTGAAGGTAGAATTAAGAAGATTATAAAATATGGCTTAATTAAGTTACCTTCTTTTACTATAGTTTAATAAAACAATTCATTGTCTACGCACTTATATTTATGGGTAAATATTGAAATAATCATATTTTGATTTTTTTTTCCTTATAAAAGCTATCCCTTATAAGAATCATTATACATTGAGTAAATTTCTCACCTAAACGAAAAAAATTATCATTTCTAAACAACATATTCAATATCAAGTATGAGTTCTTGACATACTTAATTATCATATGGTAATCTAGTACACCCAATATGTCAAACACTCATCTAGTATATTGAGTGTGTCAAAGTCTCTTTCTAGTATCTTATTTGATCGCAGATCTTGATATGTATGTTGTACGCACTAATTATCATACATCAAATTCACTTACCAATTCAACACTTATATTTCACTGTGTCAAGAAAAATATTGAGATATATTATTTTTAAAAAAATTTTATCTCAATATGATACTACATGTTACCAATATGACATAATGATTTTAAAAATAGAAAAAAAGAGACGAAAGTGGCACAATTATGTTGAAATAAGGCAAAAGCTTGGGAGAAATTCTTTGATTTAGGAATTTTCTAAATTAACAAGCAAAGGCAAAGCACCTCCCTCTCATTACGCATTCATATGTCTTCTTTTTGTTATAAATGAAAGTGTTACAGAAATAAATGAAGTTTTTATTTAATTTATTGATTTTTTTTTTTTCTGCAGATTTAAAAAAATCGATTAAAGAGTAATACTAGAATATAAAAAAAGATAAAGGAAATGAAAAGTGATTATTTATTGCACTTTTATTTTTTATTTTTTTACATATGTCAAATGCTTAATAAAAGAATAAAAAAGAAAGTATTTCTAACAAGGGAGAGCGACGACATCTTCCCACCCAAGGTTTGGCGAAGTAACACTTTCCCACCCATTAAGTTTTAAAATGACACTTTCCCACCCACCGTTATGTTCCATTAGAAAAATCCGTTCTGAAGGAGGGTAGGATAGTCAATTTATGTGAGCCTTGCATCAGACTTTGTTGCACTGTCTCTTCAGCTTATTAAATTCTCTGACTCTCTCTGTTTAATAGAAAAAAAAAAGTCGTAAAAAAAAAAAAAAAAACTATTGGCGTTTTCTCTCTGTAACAAATAAAACGATTCGATCTTAGCAATGGCTAACATTAATCTCCTCCGACGAATCATCAAGGTTACACTCGCTTTCTCCCTATTTCGATCGGTTTCTCTATTTCTCCGATCGCTTTCGTTTAAAAAACCGATTCAATTTTGTTAATTGATGTCTGTATAGGAAGGATTACTTGTTCTTTCAGTTTGATGCTCTAATTTCCTTCGATTCTCTCTCTTATCGATTGGATTGATTGTGTAATATAGGGAGTTTAATTGATTGAGATCTTTGTTGTCGATTGGACGGTGAAATTAGGATTTTGTTGTTGATGATTTTGTGTTGTGTTTTGAACTGTTACAGGGAACTCAACATCTCTTTAGTGAACCAGGTGAATACTTGATTACCTCTCCGCTTGTTTTATTTATTTATTTTTGAGTTTTGTGCGTTTAGGTTTGTTTGGTTGAGTTTAGGTAGAGTTGATTTTGTGATTTTTGGGTACAGTTCCCCACCGTCGGAGGATAGCATGCGGTATTTCAATGTGAAGATTTTTGGCCCAACACAATTGCCATAAGAAGGTAAATTGCTGAGTGATATATTGCTTTTAATGTCATAGAATTCTTATGGTTGCTTTGGTTATGTAAATTTGGAATCCCCATCTGGTTCTAGAGGTTTTTTCACGAAGACTGTCTATCATGGACTTTGAACGTATCTTTCATGACATTCTCTATTAGATTTTACCGACTCCGTATAGTGCCTTTTGGCTGAAGTATTGTGATGAAAGTGGTGGTGAATTTCGCTTATTGCTTCTAGCCATTTATTTGCCGTGTGATGAAAGCCTCAATCAAGCTGTTTTTTATGCAATTCTGAATTGTTTCAGGCAACTCCAAAACTCAGTGAAGATAAGGTGAAGCAATGCGTTGACGCTAAATTAAATGGAGATTACCCTCCTAAGGCAGTTGTAGAGGTACTGAATATGGGAACTTTGGCTGAAAATAATACATCAAATTCAAGGTTTCTTGGTGGAAGAGCAAAAGACTGTGAAGAAGGTTTTGAAGATCCAAAAGTTTTGTAGACTTATATATATATTGTAAATTAGTAATTTGGATTCTTGTTTAAGCAAATTAGTAATGCTAAGTTGCCACTGCCGTGTGGTTGTTATTTTCTTGCTGCCATGTGGGTTGTTGTGGTGGTGTGTGATGATCTTGCTGGTGTGGGTTTTCTTTTTTTAGCCTTTTAATGCTGCTGCTGTGAGTTCTCCAGGTGCTAAGTTGTTGCTGGCGCGTGAGTGCTCTTGTCTTTGCTGGCATTTTGTGCTTGCGTTTGTGGTCCTGCTCAAAGATTTGTCTTTTCTGTCAGTTGTGGTTTTTATTTTCTCGTTTTGTTTTGTTTTGCTGTGTTGGAGGTTCTCCTTCTTGTTAGCGTTTCCTTTTTGTTTGGGACGCATTGATGAGGGGTTATCCCGGATAGCTTATTCTTTATCCTTACAATATCACCAATTGCCTAAAAGAAATCAATACTGCTAATATACTTAATTTTATTTGGGTTTAAATTGACAAAATTAAAATATGAAAGTCAGTTTAAGGTAGCAATCATAGGGACAAACTAGTAATATTAAAGGTTTCAAATTTTAAATATCTACCGTAATTTCGTTGATTTAAAACATTATTTTTAATAAAAAATTAGAGGGACAAATTTGATATATAGTTGAGGGTATATTAGTAATTTCATATTTAAAAGAGGTATATTGGTAATTGTATTTCTTGAGATGACATAGGATAATATTAGTAACAGATATTCCTAACATGACAAAACGGTAGATAGGAAGTGTCATTTTGAAACTTGATGGGTGGGAGGGATCATTTTGTCAAACCTTGGGTGGGAACATGTTCTCTCTTTCTAACAATCATTTTTGTAATATTATATACAAATAAATTTTCTAGTCATAACGTTCTACATAATTTTATGAAGACTATGCATGTGTATGGTTGAATTTGAGTTGTAAAATATGATTTCAATACAATAAGCTGAATCCAACGGGATTTGAGCCATGGTCCTAACAAAATAAATATCAGGATGTCTTTGAGTAATTGAAAAACAACTTACTTGAACTACGTATAAAACTCTTCTTTAATTGCAACATCCCAGTAAGAAAATCTTGTGTTTTATCCTATAGACAAATGCAGCTAAAGAGACACTACTAATTTATTCCATCAACATTTAAATGTAACAATTAAAATTATATAGAAGAACAAAAAACATCACAATGCTAATTCAATCTCAAGACTAGAAAGATGTTTCAATAGGATGCCCATGTAGATTCCATTGGTTTAGACGTCTCTATAGATGACATGGAAATGGTTGAAGTTGAGTCGAACCAGCCCAACTTTTCCATGAAATTTTTAATTAGCTCTCCAACTAAATACGAAACACACGATACCGCAACTCCTGTGCTCATGTAGTATAGTATTGTTTTGATAGAAAATTTGGGGGATGATTTATTAACATGACACTTGGTAATGGCCAGTAGAGTAATGCATATAAGAGAAGCACCATGTTGTGATGTGGCAATTGATATGTACACACGTGGAAGTCAACTTTTACCTTGGGTGGTCAAAGTTAATTGTTAAAGACTTTAGGGGCATTTCTATCTTTCTGGTATCTTCAATAAACCTAATTTGAATTAGGTTTTGTGCAGCTCATTCTCGATCTTTCTCTCTTGGTTAACAAAAAGAGAAAGCTGTTAGAATCCGCTATGCAGGAAATCCGAAGAACATTGATGGAATCAAACGGTGGTGGTAGGTCTTAGCTATCCTATCTGTTTTACCTTTCTTTGTTGTATAAATCTGTCACTAATTCTACCTATTTGATGATGTATGAGTGGTGAGAGCATCTAGGTGTACGGGTGTAAATCAGAGGGGTTTTTCTCGGGTTGTGCCTTGTGTAAAAGGGGTGAGCATAATCTCTGTAAGGTTTCTCATATCTCACAGTGAATACTTTTCTTTTGCCCTGAAGAGTGGATGTAGGTAATCTAATAGATTACCGAACCACTATAAATCTGGTGTTCTTTATTTTTCTGTCATTATTTGCTTTATTGATTATTACTATAAATTTGTGGTTGCTTGGATTGAATATTGCATATTTTGTTTTGGTTTTGGTCTCATGTTGCAACAAGTGGTATCAGAGCCACGTTTTCTAGCACCTAGGTCTTATTCTAGGTTGTGAGATCCAATTTTCACGAATCTGCAGTAGTCTAGGGTTTGATCATTTTCATAGTAATTTTTCCTTTGCAACTTAGGGTTTCTTTTTGTCTCTAGAAAATTGGGGCTTTTATACCCTGAGTAACTAGGAAGGTTAGAAACCTAGAAATGTCTAAGTTCGAAGTTGAGAAATTTACATGGGATAATAATTATGGTTTATGGAAGATGAAGATGAGGGATGTCTTAGTTAAGGATGGATTGTCTGCTACCTTAGAGGGTGAGGATAGTTTACCAGAGTCTTTGTTTGATGAAGTCCTAAGAGAGGTTAAGAATATGACTACACCAGTAGAAATTTGGAAAAAGTTAGACTCTCTATATCTATCAAAGTCTTCTCCTAATAGGTTAGTTTTAAAGCAGAAATTTTTTAGTTTTAAAATGGATGAAAACAAAATATTAGGTGACAATATGAATGACTTTATGAAACTTGTACAGGATTTAGAAGGTCTTAGTGTTAAAGTTGAGGATGAAGATCAAGCTATGATTCTTATTAATTCTCTTCCTAAAATTTTCTCAAATTTTGTTGATACTCTTAAGTATGGTAGACAAACCCTTAAACTAGATGAAGTAGTAGTAGCCATTACCACTAAGGATGCTGACTTTAAAAAGGAGGGTAAGCTAGATGGAGAAAGACTGAATATCAGAGGTAGATCTGAGAAAAAGATGTCAAAGAAAGGTCATTTTAGGGGTAGATCTAAGTCTAAATCCAAGTTTGTGAGGAAGTGTTTTCACTGTCATAAGGAAGGACATTTTAAAAGAGACTGTCCAGATAGAAAGAAAAGATCAGGAGAGAAAGAGGCTAGTGGCAGTGTAGATATAGCTTCAGATGGATATGAAAGCTTTGATGTTCTAGTAGCTTCTGATAGAGAATCCGAGTCTGAGTGGATTTTGGATTCTGGATGCACATTCTACATGACTCCAAATAGGAGTTCACTGATGAATTTTAAGAAAATAGAATCCAGCAAGGTTCTAATAGGGAATAATGCAGTGTGTAGTGTCTTAGGCATTGGGGATGTCAGATTAAGTCTTCATGATGGCAGTTCAAGAGTCCTTTCAGAAGTTATGTACATACCTGAGTTGAAAAGGAACCTAATCTCCTTAGGTAGCTTAGACTCAAATGGTTTTAGTTACAAGACTTAAGGTGGAGTGCTTAAATTTACTAAAGGGTCTTTAGTGGTTATGAAAGGAGAGAAAAAGAATGGCTTATATGTTCTAAGTGGATCCACTGTTGCTGGAACAGCAATAGTGACCTCATAGAAACCTAACAAGACTTCCATTTGGCACAAAAGGTTGGGACACATTAGTAAGAGAGGATTGATAGAGTTAAGTAAGCAGAACGCTTTAGGAGAGGATAAAATAGAGAAGCTAGATCTCTGTGGTCACTGTATTTATGGGAAGATGAGTAGAATTAGGTTTAGTGTGGGAAACCACTGTTCTAAGGGCATTTTGGACTACATCCATTCTGATGTGTGGGGACCAACCAAACATCCATCTTTGGGAGGATGTAGGTACTTCATTAGCATCACAGATGATTACTCTAGGAGGGTATGGATTTATTTTTTGAAAACTAAGGGAGAGGCCTTTAGGAAGTTCAAGGATTGGAAGATTATGATAGAAAACCAATATAGGAAGAAAATCAGGAAACTTAGGACTGATAATGGATTAGAATTTATCAATGAAGAGTTTGATAGCTTGTGTAGGGAGAGTGCAATTTTGAGGCATAGAATAGTAAGACACACCCCAGCAGAATGGTTTAGCAGAGAGGATAAATGGGACCATTCTTGAAAAGGTTAGAAGCCTGTTATCCTGTTCTAAGTTACTGATCAGGTTTTGGGCAAAGGCTGCTCACATAGTTGTTTACCTAATTAACAGAATCCCTTCCTTAGCTCTTAGTTTCAAAACACCCATGGAAAAGTGGTCTAGGTATCTTACTAACTATAGTAATCTTAGGGTTTTTGGCTGCACTGTTTTTGTTCATAAGAAAACTGATAAGCTAAAACCAAGGGCCATTAGATGTATTTTCTTAGGGTATCCTGATGGCATAAAAGGTTACAGGTGTTGGGATATTGCAGGAAAAAGATGCATAATTAGTAGAGATGTTGGGTCTAATGAGGATGAGGTGAATGGTCTAAATCAAAATGGATTGAGTGAGAATGAAAGTGATAGTACAGTTAGGACAGAGATGATTAACCTGGATTTAGGTGGAGGAATTTCAAACCTGAACAATCCTGGTCCAGATCCTAATGTAGATGTTCAAACCCAGGAGGATGAACCCAGCCTAGATGATAGTGGTGATAATGATAGGGTTGTAAATGATTTGCAAAATTATCAACTAGCTAGAGATAAAGAAAGAAGGGAAATCATATTACCTAGTAGGTACTCATATGCTGATGTGGTAGCTTTTGCTCTTCAAGTTGTTGAAGAGATTGATGAGGAACCTAGAACTGTTAAGGAAGTCATGAGTTGTAGAGAATCTACGCAGTGGAAACTGGCCATGCAAGAAGAGTATGATTCCTTAATCAAAAACCAAACTTGGATTTTGATTGACAAACCTGAAGGCAGTAGGGTGGTTAAATGCAAATGGGTTTTCAAAAGGAAAGAGGCATACTAGGGGTAGAAGCACCTAGCTAGGTTTAAAGCAAGATTAGTGGCAAAAAGGTTTACACAGGTTGAACGGGTGGACTACAATGAGATTTTCTCACCTGTAGTGAGACATACCACCATTAGAATACTGTTATCTTTGGTAGCTCAGTTTGGTTTAGAACTAGAGCAGTTAGACATCAAAACAGCCTTCTTAAATGGTGATTTAGAAGAAAAAATTCTAATGGAACAACCTGAACTGTTTGAAAATGGGCTTAAAAACCAAGTCTGTTTTTTGAAAAAAATCTTTGTATGGGTTGAAGCAATCACCTAGGCAGTGGTATAGGAAATTTGATTATTTTATATTGAATGTTGCTTTCATCTAAAATAGCTTTGATGGGTGTTTCTATTTCAAATGCTTGTATGGTGAATGCTACATCTACTTGTTTTTATATGTGGATGATATGCTTCTAGCTTATAAGGATTTTTATGAAATTGATAGATTCAAAAGGGAGACGAGCAAACAATTTGAGATGAAAGATTTAGGACAAACTAG